AATGTCATGTAAGAAACTAGCCAATTCTATATTGTCAGACCCCGAACACCCTCTCTATACGCAGCTCTCTCCTTGCATTTCATCTGGTAGAACTAGAAGCAACTATAGGAAGCTATATGCCAGGACTACCAAGTATAAAAACTCCACAATACCTTATCTGGCACAGCTGTTATGTGATGAGAAAACTGTTAGGCATGACACGATCACCTTACTGCGGCACTCTAACAAATAGTTTCCCATTAGCTTTTGTTCTCCTTTCTTTGTTACTATTATATTGTTGCTCATATAATCTATTGCACACTAATTTTATATATCATATCCTGTGGTGCATTGTTTAAATATGTGAATGCAATGCTGTTCTTTTTTTATTTCTTTCATTTCTCTTTTTTTCTTTTGTTGTTGCTTTTTATTTTTAAATTCTTATAAAATTTATGAGGTAATTAGATGCAATATTGTAATGCACGCTGAAAATTTCATACCTGCACCACAAATACTATTTGGAATAAAGCCATTATTATTAGTATTTTAGCTGGTGACTTTAATGCTCAAGTAGGAAATTGTGTCAATCTGAAAAGAATGTCGGTGGCACCTATGGAGTCCCGTGCCAGCGAACCGACAACGGTGACCGTCTCCTACAGTTCTGTTCAGATGATCATTTGTTTCTTGTAAGCACTAACTTCAAACACAAGGAGGGACACTGTTTGACCTGGTGACCCCCATCAACAAATCAACGCTGGACACAAATAGACCACATTGCAATAAGAATGTCTGATGATGTTTTCTGAAATGGGTGGATGAAATATTATGTATAGTGTGGTCATATGGAAGCAGGTCCTAATAAACTTATCGAAATTGCGATTCTACACTCACGCGAGAAGTGGTTAGCAGAAGGAGGCAGAAACTAATTTACCAGCCTCCCACGATGCGTCAGCTCACGTTCGCTATGCATCAACGCATCGAGTGTTCGATTTTACTTCACTTCCAAAACAAAGGAGGAGTAATGGCAATTACTTTATCTAGTGTATCTTACCGCAGTACGTTCGAATTTGGTGACACTTTTGCACGTGTTTTCACTGATATTCATTTTTCAGTTCTGCTATATTATACCCAATAATAATGGGCAAAAACTCTAACAAGCGTGTTCTTATGAACACTAGTAAATTAGAAAATAGCTTAGGCTTATCTGGTGACGTATTATCACCCCTTTAATCAGCTGTAATTATTAGTTCACCCAATACAAACGGTTCCAACATAATGCTAACACTTGTAATACAGGTGGAAGATATCCTGTCAGAAAAGGCAGAGATTACTAACTTGGTCTGCATCATAAATGACATGCAGCTACAAATAAATTAACTCAGGACGAAACTAAATTTACTTGACCTGGTACCAGAAACAATCTTCCATCTCACTTTCCTAAAACTGTTTAAATTGGGAACTAAACCAGCCGATGCTGAATTAGAACATGCTAAGGAGCTAGAGAACGCTATGGACTTTCTGTCGAGCGAAGTTGTTAAGAGACTTGCTTCTAAATAGAACGCCATATTGGACAACGTACCTGACA